GCGAATCACGGTTTGTTAGCTTCAGTTACGAGGTCAGTGACAGTCCTTTGCGCTATAAACGGGGGAGAAGAGAGTGGTACGGGTAGATGAGAAGAAGTGTTGGCCACCGAGTGCAGAGGGCAAATTATACTCTCCTGCTGCCTATTCCGGTAGGGAGTCGTTGGTTGAAGTGCCCTACCCCTAGCCTTTCACTCAACTGTCTGACCCACAACGCGGTCACGTATATGGAGGTTCAGTTGAGTGGCTCCAACCAGAACCTTTGGCTCAACAGTTTGACCCACAATGTAGTGGGGAGGTAGTCCAACTGGAAAGCGTGGTTGCAGTGTCACATTGGGATCTGTTTGAGGCCTGTCAGATACAGCCTTTGAGGATATAGGGCAATTCATGTACGACCACAGACAACCGCATGGGGGAATTCGTGGGTTTACAGTAATTTCACCAGGAGGTTCCTAGATTGAAGCGGGAGGTAGCAAACCATTGAGCACCGCCCGGCGCACTCCCACGATCAGAGACAATGCGTGGCACTCATGCTCTACGCCAATCGAGCCGTCAGATACAGTAAAACCTGTTATCTCCCATGGCTGTTCTGAGGGAAGAGAAACATGAACAGCTAACAACCCTCGAAGAGGATTGGGAGACTGAGTTAATCCGATCCACAACCATGAACACGTTTGGTAGGAGCAGCCCTGGTGGCACCTAAAAGGTGCCACGGAGCGAAGCTCAATAGGTCACGAAGGTAGACAAACCATCGCAGCAAAATACAGTCCAGTCGCGTCACGATGGGATTTGTTTCTCCGCTTTGTCCTTGTTGTACTATGTCGTATCAGTCTGAGACTTGCCTCCGGTTACGAGATCAGTTTCCACTTTCGTTATACTACGATTTATTGATGCTAGCAAGGCTTATTTCTCAAAATGTTCACAATCCGTTCGGCAGCTACGCATCTGAAGTATTCAATTCTCCTAGGTAGGGTGACTACCCGCGTGTAAAATACTCTGCATACGATACCACAGATTCTACATTTATAGCTTCGAAACGCAGACGCTGCAGTTCTCTATCGTCGAACGTGACCTACGTCTCTGGTTCGGGATGACGGGTTGTTCACAGCAAACGGAAATGGCATTACAAGCGGGGGACCACCACGTAGAACAAGCAATTTAAGCAAGGCCACCAAAACTGAAGCACGATGTCACTGATCTGGAGCACACTCAACGTCGGGTTTCCAAGTGCGTCACTGGAACTCGTAATTTACCATATGAAAAGAATCGGAAACACGGGTATTGCTGATTAGCCGACAATCTACTACTGCTTAAATTGTTCTGAGTTAACCAAACGATGTGAGCCGCTGTTTACTGCAGTTTAGCAATAACACCTAACTGAGCTCATTCCTTGAAACTGTCAGAATAGTATCACCGCCCCGAGTGTTGCGGATTTCTTTGTTCTGTTTTTGTGTCACCACTGGCAAAACACCACATTCAGTCTGTTCCGCAACAATACAAATCATGTGTGAGAACAGTTGGAGTAACCACTCAGGCACTTACATTTCTTAGCAACCGCAACGGAAACCATTATGCAGCGATATGAAATATTCCCCAGGAGCAAGCTCAGTCGAACAACGGCATGACGAAGGCAACAGGCGAGTGAAACCTCGGTGAGGATGCCAATGTGCACTGCGGCACACTCATCCTGCTTCGAATCGCTACATCCATCAACCGCGGAGCTTGCAACTTTGAGCTCAGTGAGCATGCGGCACCCCGAAACACACCGCGGTCTACACGCTCTCCACGCCCCTCGGGTGTCACTAGCTCTACTTCCGTGCCAGCCGATCATCGACAATGGTATGTGTGAGCGACTTCATGTCATTATTCCCAAGGGCCACTTCCTTCGCACTCATGCACCTGGGTGCCTCGCAGTATACGGACAGTTCAGCGATGAAATGGGTGGACACACCGCCCAATCATATTTCACGTTTAAATGGAAATGGCTGAAAGGTTACTTGCCAATCACTATGATCACTCGTGACTGCTAAGCCCAGATGGTACCACGTGGGTTTTGCGAGTATACCCCTAGCATTTGTGTAGCTTCAGTGTAGCCAATCATGCCTGAATACGAGTATCGAGCGCGACAAAGCACCCACCAAATTGCAAGCGATCTGCTCCACGCCTAAAGGTTCTCTGGTAACTCATGTCATAAACTAGTCTGATATGCTATTGGTTGATTTGAGATTGGTCACCCAACGAGGGGCGCGCTTTGGTGCGTTCACGCGAGGTGGATGATATTTGATTGCCTTAAGGAGGATTCTGAAAGATGTATGGACGAAACCTATTTCCTTAAGGCAGAGTTTGAAAGCGTTATGGATGCAATTAACTGAGAAAAAATATAGAGTGCGCGCGCGACCTGCTTGTTGCCTAATCTGGTCTAAGGTGCGCGCATTGAACGCTGCCATTGAACTGTGTTTTCGGTTGCAGAAGCGGCTAGGTGAGAATCCGGAACTTTTCAATCGCGGTTTGGCACTGTGTGACTACGTTTGAGGATGGCGCGGGAACGTTGATATCGTGGACGGAATGTTGCTCACCTTTGATTTCTCAGACAAAAACGGGGAATAATGATACAGCGGAATAGCAGATAAGGGAGTAGCGTGTGATGGTAGTGTTTGCAGTAGTCACGTGAGAGCAAACATCAGTAGAGCGAAGAGCAGTTCAGTTCAATAGTTCAGCAGTAGACGAGATACTACCAGGTTGCCTAGGCCGTTGTAGGGGCTTGTCTTAGGGGACCGCCACCCCGGGCCTTTGGCTGAATAGCCTACCCGCAAGGCAGCTGGGCGAATTCAGGGAATCGTGCCCGTTGGGAGCCGGTGACGGATAACTCGATTTAAATGCTTTTCGTTTTGTCAAGTACCAAACGGGAGCCCAATCCTTCCCACGGTGACAGCATCTGGCAACTGGAGAACAGTGCTCCACTGGAGTGAAGGAGTCAGTGACCTTTTAGTGGCGAGTTACATCCGTTACGTCGTAGTGTTGTTAAACCGACCTATGTGGCTTTTTAAAGAGTGAAGGCTTGCCAAGCTTTAACCCACCACGTCCTGGAGCGCTGCCGCCGAACCATTCGCTGGAATGGGAATTCCCGAACCACCCAGCTATCATCACGAGGAGGTTTTTCGGCAAGCCAGCGGAGCATTCAATTGACCTCTAATTTTTTGTGCTCGTGCACCGAACCATGTCCTCAAATGACTCGGTTAATGTGATCACCCTCACATGTACTTACCTTGATAACTTGCCATTTCTCCATACCCTCAACTTTCCTTAACGATATTTGACCTCATCTACTTTTCTTAGCTCGGTAACAGATGCTACGTGCACTGGGTATGATATCGCTATCTCCATGGCATTGTAACATAGGTACAGCTTTATCTGAGTAAAGCTTAAATCGTCAAATTCGACAATCTGTTTATTTGTTTGTGTGCTTCATGTAAACCCCTCTCTCTGCGATTGGACCGTCGATGATTGGCCAGTGCCCTTGCTAATACTTCCACACGTCTATGGTGTGCTCACTTGTCCTCTGTCTGTCTGCTTGAACAGCGTTTTCCTTCCCGTTGTGCAATAGCATTTTGTTGCTGACGGTGATACACCGGGACGCTGGACGATTGAGGTACGAGCGATTTACTTAACTACATGTACTTTAATAGTACCATGGTTATTGCGATCCGACTTTGTGCTGTTTTTCTGATCATTAGCTACGCTTAATGCAAGGTTCGACCGGTGAACCTTACAAGTATTTTAAGCCCTTCAGTTGGGTCACAGCAGGCATACCTGAATGAAGTGTTTGACAGGATCAGAAGTTTCGGATTTACACTGCGGATCGGCGCATATGCATTCTTCATGTTCCGAATTTCGTACCTTATTTCCATCATCGATGCCAGTGGTCACCGTCCTGATCCATCAAAAACAACTGCAGTCCAGCAGCTACAAGAACAGAAAGATAGGAAAACACTTCATTCGTTTTTGGAACTAATAAACGATTACAGCAACCTTTCCCTAAGCAAGACACTACAGGGATTCCTTTGAAAGTTCTTCCGGACGCATTTGCTTTGTCCAGGCGAATGGAACGGTAATCAAAGCAAAATGTTAATGTGATCAAAGAAATGGAAAATGAACAGAGACATTCTGCACAGACACGCCCCCGATTAAGTGACTCCGTTTTGTATAACTCCTTTTTAAAACGGGGAAGGTGTCAGAAAGACAACGTGTATGAACCAGCATCAACTTTTCAGACAATCAGACTGCAGGTAAAATTCGGTTTGTTTTGAGCAAACGTGTTTGAACGTGAGCTAAGCTGAGTTGTGTTTCATGAGTCTGTTGTAATTTCCACTTGTGCAGCGAACCTTTAAAGCAGTGTCAATCTTGTCTCTATACTACTAAACAAGACAGATGACATAGATATTGGCGCTTAATACCTAGAAGATATGCAGCCATATATTTGAGCCCCCTGAGGTGCATTCAGGATTGTGTGCTATCTTAACTTTTCCCAATTTGATGCTGTGAGTCCAAGCGGGTATTCAGAACATTTTCCTCACGGGACTCACAAAAAGCTATCTTCCTTATTTGCTTTTGACCTCTACTGAAGTACGATTTCCGGTGGCCGATTCTGACACTATACACCAGGCTTATACCGTCTCCTTTCTGCATCGGGGAAGTTAGCAAGCGATCTAACCATCCAGCGATCCACTATAGCTGAATGCAGCTTTCTGAGGCCTGTGACACATTATTCATCGGTGCCCTTCTTGAATAATCTTGCATTTACACTAAAGTGTATGGGAACTCTGGAAAGTCGAGTGCCAGGAAGGTAGATACCAACCCGTCTAAATGCCTCAGCGATTATCTTGCTTCACAGTTAGTGTCTCTGGCAAAACATGCTACCGTCTCCATGTTCAATTGTTCAGAATTTCACTACAAAGACACCTCACTAATCACGAATTGCATGTCTCCCATCTTTGCAATTTTAGTCCACTTACGATGGCGTATCGTCTGCCGTTAGCCAGGACTTGGAGCGAGTAAGAAGACAGCACGCTGATTTGACACACACATATGAACAGACCTTGAAGCAACTAGAAGACTTGCAGATTCAAGTGAGTGCTTATTCATATGCTACAAAGGATCATGCAATAGTTATTGTTACGTTTGCTTGCCTGTGGCTGGCAACCTATTGCAGGTTCGATCACTCTTACTCAGATAGCCATCGTTAAGCCAACAAATTGTTGGCTGGCTTCACACGTCATCGCAGCCCTGACAACCAAACACTATTACGAATGACACTGCATCGGTTGTAGTTGTTGTGATCTGCGAGTTATCGTAGCACCTGTCTCAATTCGTGTTACAGGGGGGCAAACCCGGTTTCAAGTCAGGATTATGTGTGCCCTGAAGTTAAGTTCAAAGACGTGCAATCTCTTTAGATCATGTTAAGAAAATCTACCTAGTGTACCTCCACTGGTGTTTCCTGTACGGAATTACAGTTCGACCATAGATAAGCAATGTTGATCAGTGAGTTCGGAGGCATTTGGGAACAATCGGTGTATCCGTATGACAATGTTTTACTTCGTCAGTCTAGGAAAGTGAGGCAAGACAACTTTTCTCTATTGAGATACTTGGCGCACAAGAACGAGCGCACTGCCCAAACTTGGACCGGGATGAAGGTCAGCGGAGTTTCTGAACACTTGCGTTTGCCCACACACCCGAACACAACACACGGGCGGCGGAAAATTGTACGGCATTTGGGATCCACTCGACAGAGGCTGAGCTAGGAGACCGTGTATTTTGCCAACACCAGTTTAGTTGCCTTCTACTATGGGCTTTCATATACAAAACCGTTATATCCTTTGAAAAAAACGTAGCATGAGGAGATGAATGATCGCATTCTCTCTGCAGTCGGTGACCAATTTCACTGCGATGTGTTCCGTCACATTAGCATTGGCCCTGAAGGGGTTTCTGGCATTCAAGCATTTTTATCGGAAACGTGAATGCTTCTAACTCATCCAGTTCCTTTAATCTCCTGAACATTTGACGGCACCTAAAGTTCAATCCATATATTTTGCTAGTATGATCAAATGACGCTGCAACGAAACGGTCTGAGAGCCCAGTTGGACGAAGAAATTGAGAAACGCGCCAAACTTGAAGAGCAATTACGCTCGAACGAGGATCAGTGGAAGGCTCGAGTGTCCCAAGTGGTGAGTGGTATTCAATCGAACATGCATCAAACCAACAGTTCCTAATTACGTCAGCGCCACTGTTGAGTTAGAGCGGTTCTATAACCGACAACTTTTAGTTTCTTTAATTTTTCTCTCCGTTATTTATTGGTGACCGGGAGGACTTGTGCACATATTTAAACTGCTCTCCGCATTACAATTGTATGAAATTTGAACTGTTAGTTAATGGTGACAAATCAGACAAGCATTGTGCTCTTATCTGGTTGTTATTCACAAGTGGATCCAAGTACACAGTTTATGAACATTTAGCTAGACAGTACACGGTTACTTTGTCTGGTTTGAGGCAGAATAGACACGGGCTCTCTTCATTAGACTGAGGGAGCAAACTCACAATCCCAATCATTTTGGTCGTTATGCAGTGGCAATCAATCAGGGAAACGGCGACACCTGACCCGACTAAATGGTCAGGTTATACTCATTTTCCGGAGGTTAACAGTACCGTCAATATTAAAAGCCTTCGTCTATAAACTTTTCCTTCCCACGAACAGACACCTTTTGAACAGTGCTTTGTTTTACAGGAGAGTTCCGCTCATTCTAAGCAACTATTCATGGAACTCACCGATCTACGCAATGAGTTGGAAAGAAAACAAGCACAGGTTAGTTTTGTTATCCGACTAGCAACGGAAATTTTATGATTTATCAACCAAACGCAATTTACCGTGTCGCACTGTCAATCAGGAACACGCAAAACAGGTTATACCCGTGCGCAGTCATCCAATGATCACTTGTGTTCTGTCAAATCGAGATTGCTTCCACCATGATAGCGGGTGCAACCGACATCACCCCTACCGATGGGTTGCTTACCACCAGCGTTTGGGATAGATTGGTACCTCTGTGACATGAAGCCCGCTGTAGGTAGTGCCGGCGATCCTTTATCTTACTCAAAGTTGGGTAATTCGCTAGGATACGGATGGGTTTCAAGGCCTCAGTTTTCTTACGTGAGGTTGGTGTTGATGGCATTCAAAGCTGGGTTTCCGGGATGGACACCTCAGTAGTAGCCACTTGAATAGAACAAACAAATGTTCGAAAAGAGCGTATATTTGCTAGGAGCCCGAGGGCGACATCTGCATTTGAGAGCGAAGTAGTGAAGGGAGAGATCTCAGCTCCTATGGTTCCGTGCTTGGAGTTAGCCTCCAGAGAAAACATCCACTCTCGTGACTTGATTTCAGCTCGTCATTTCTTGCCTAGATTCTTTCTTTTGCACACGTACGTTGTCACTGGTAATACACTCGTGACTGATCAGTTGTCTTTTCGGATTCCATAAAGTCCCACACATACCATCTGGTTCCAAAATTTAGATTGCGTGCCTGAGCAAAGAGCTCGAACTATTTCAGTCGTCGTCTTCGGAGAGGGAGCGTTTGTCTGGAACTACCAGTCAACACCTTCAGCTTGTTGATCTTCAGGTGCGGCTACGCCAAATGACAGAGGAAAGGGACCATGCAAAAGAACAGTTAAATGAGGCGCTCACTCGTGCAGAGTCCACGTACTTGGATGCCCAACAGCAGCTGATCATTGAAAAGGTTAGTTCCTACGTCAATTGCAGTCATCCAACTACTGCTTGCGTGCAAGTAACCAACGACACAATCAATGTTCTAGTAATCGGTTTGGTTTAATCTCCCAGTTTCGGCTCACATCAATGCAGGAGAAATACGCTGTGGGTAGTACGGTTCAGCTTAGAAATTCGACCTCCTACATATAGAACTATATATTTGGGAAGGCGTTTTCTTGGAAATTGGTAACTGTAGCCAACACAGTAAGTGGATAAACCACGTAGGCATATGGGGGCACAATTATTCCCAGGCCAGGTTGTAGTATTCTTCACAGTAAGCCAGAGTGACCTAGTAATAACGCTACTTTATTCACGTTCGCAAATTTCAGATTTGCAGCATTTACCCATTACTTACCAAAGTGACTCACCAAACCCCATGTTAGGTGTTTACTTTGAATGTATTAACTAACCTTAACACCACACACTGACGCCCTTTTTACAGCAAACATTGCAGGAACGCCTCACGAATCTAACCCAGAGCGCCCATAATGCCACGTCTGAGGCGGATCGCTATCAGAGGGAAGCACGACAAGCCAGCGCTCGAGTACAACAGCTAAGCAGACAGCTGCAGGAGACACAGAACAATTGCGATGCCATTGCCCGTCAACGGGACAGCCTACAAGATCAGCTAAATCAGGTACTCACGTGTAGTACTGTTGCTTTTGATTTTGAGAACCAAATTTATTTGACATAAGCTTCAGTTAGACTAACAACATTGAAAACTGTTATGCTGGCTTCTGGCCAGCACCACCTATATCGAAGGACGAGAAGGCAATGGATTCTAACTACTGGATACTGTATGGTGGGAATAAATAGGTTATAATCTATACAACTCCATCGCGATATGATCAGAAACATCAAAGAAGCGAACTATCTATGACTTATCAATACCCTGATCGCTTTTCACGTATTCACTTGATATCGTAAAACGTGTAAGTCACAGTAAATTAGGACTCAAAAATGTGTGATATCAGTGAATAATCGTTCTCGGAATCTGAAATTTGCGAAATGCACATCCAACAATCGTTTGAACACTGAGTTCGGTTCCACAATACGTTCCGCTAAACCATTTCAGAGGTTTACCACTTATTGTTCCAAGCATAAAAGATGGCTAACTCGCTTCAGATCTGAAACAACAAGCTTGTACTGGTGTCCGCGTGTGTACAAGATGTCCGTTAATGGAGCAGTAGCCTCAGCGTAGGGAAGTCACATAGTTGTAAAATGTGGTAGGTCATGATGACGTCGACCCGCAACCGGCAGGCCAGGGTGTATAATCCCAGCCTCTCGCACTTGCTCCGCAACATAGTGATGAACCTGGTGGCGGCGGGTTGGACCCCTTCAATCTTCTGCGCCTCGTCTTGGATGGTCAGGCAATAGGCGGGCATTGATTGACTGATGGAAGAGAAGAAGCAAGTGGCTACCTCTTCTGACCAGATGCAGAAGCTGCGTTTGAGCTCCCAAAATATTCACACTCCGATTAGGTGTAGCCAGTTCGTGTTGCACGCGGACTTCAAATTGCAACGTGAGACTACTCCTATGCGTTAGGAGAATAGCTATTCGACATTCATTTTTGTGAACAAGCTTAATAGCCATTCTCTATTCTTCCTATTTTCTACTTCTTGACTGTTGTTTAAACACTCCACTGTGTTAGCTTGATTGGTCACGCACGTCATTGTTAATGGACGCTCATCTCCGTGTCACCTTCAGTAGTGCCATTTGCAAGACACATTCCATCGGTTTTTCTCTGCATCCCTTTACGACTTGCTTATGTTAAAGGGATATGTAGTCATCACACAAGTATTGTGCTAATTTTCACTTTTTGGGTCTGCACCTCTTATTCTCGTGTGTTTCGTGACATTTGTTTAAACGCTACATTTCGTTATTCTGGTTGGCCAGTGTCCGTCACTGTAAATGGATGTTCGCTTTACGCTTGGGGTCACATGACATATGCGATTCGCTCTTGAATACACGGTTGCTTGTTCGTCCGTTACATTTGATGTTTTGCTTCTGTTGTCTGGATCAAGTGTAATTTAGTAGCTTCCCTTCCTTTTGCCTTCAAAACTATAAGCAAATGTGATTTCACGTATACAATTCACTTTTCGGCTCTTCTTTGGACTTCTTGCGGTCTTGGGGTGAAGGCGTCAGTGGCGACACAACACTGGGTCCTTGACGGAAGATATGGTATGTAGCATTTGGCCTTGGAGCATTTAGGTTAGGACGGCATGAGCTTTCCCAAGGCTCATGAATGCCGATGTGGATGGATTATCCGGGTGGACTTCTGCAGACTACATGGAAAAGCGCTTGAGGTCTTCCTGATGTAGGCCGCAGTTGTCGGAAGTGCTTACCACTTTCCACATATTCAGCTAGTCTACAAACAAGGCACACGGCTACCGATGGGGCTGATGAACATCATTGCTGTAAATGAGAAACAATGTAGACCACAGCACCGTGCCCTTGGTTGCGCCGCTAGTCGAAGGATACCGGTCGATTAGATGGCTATCGAATTGTACCGTCTAATAGAGACCCAAGCGGAGTCCATGACCAAGGTAGCAACCACGCGAGGTGGCCAGAGTGCGTGTTAGTTTGCCGGGGAGCACGTGATCAGTCAGGTGTGTGTGAAGGCCACGCGCACGGGCGAGAAATCGCGTTCGCCTATATTGCCAAACTGGGGAATCAGGCGCGAATTGATTAGCCAGCGAATTCAAGCCGGCGGAGTCCAACTCTGAGGCGAACGACTCTGTTAAATACGGAAAACCAGTGGAACTGAACTCGCTCACATTGGTTGAGGGTCAGACGTCGAAGATTGGGTGACCATGCTTCCCAAAATTAGTAGGTATGGTTCATTCATAAATAGAGACGACCTATTCTGTAGAATATACCCTGTCTACCGGGCCTTCTGATTTTAGTTTCCTTCGGTTGGTTGGGCGGGTGATTAAGTAGACAAACCGTCGCAGTCTCATAGGCAAATGGGTGCGGCAGTAAAACACCCGCGACTTTCTTCTAAGGAGAAACTCGCGGATCCACCGGTGCAGGGAGTCGCCAACACTGCACCCCCTCAGCTTGTATAGGAGGTCCACCTTGTTGAACGCTGAGCTGAAATGGAGGTAGGTCACATGGACTGACGTCCCTTGGTTCACTGCTTGTAAGGATTCATGTCTTGTCACGAGCACGTTGGTAATGCACGGGCGACCTGGCATAATACCGTAATGTGTAGGGGTCAAATCTTTTGACAGGAACAGCTGTAGCAAACTCTTTTTCACAAGCTTCTCAGCAAACTTGACCAAAATAGGTGTCAGAAAAATTGGCTTGTAGTTGCCAAGTTTGCTGGGATTACCGCCTTTTGGAATCGGTCTTACCTTCAAGCATTTCCAGTCACTCCGCAATGAACCTACGGACAGCGACCCGTTGAACAGTCAGTCACGGCAGGCGATATGCTGGCCGAGAAGGACTTGGAAATCAGCAGGTGAAACCCTTCAAGCCCAACTGGTTTGGTGCCGTCAGTGTTGGCGAGTAGTCGACGCATCTCTTCAACATCACACCCCATACTGTCGCGTTCGATGACAGCGATACACATCGAACTCAGGACAGGCATCTGGTCATTTGAAAACACAAACCAAAGTGCGCTGCCAAGGCGGACGAAGGCTCAATGATGGAGGTTGGGGGCTCTTCATCAGCGTCCACTTTTACACATGGGCCAATTACCGACTTCAGGCGCCGCTTCACCTACACAGAGTTGCTTTGAGGCGGTCTTTGCTGCGGTTGCAAGCTGCACTTCGCAATGCCGGCGCTTGCTCGTTCTCGTAATGTTTCGAATATTTCGCTGCTTTTTGTACATCCCAACGTCAACGACCGCGCAAGAGATAAGGAATTTGTCCCACAGCCTGCGCCGCCACCGGGCCAGCTTGCCATATTCCTTGTCGAATCAATGTTTTGTCCGATTTTCCGTCACTTGTGAGGCACTAAGTGATTATGCAGTGTGTGCACCATTATTTATACCTGACTAGCAAGTTTCAAGATGCAGATTGCAGCAGAGACCGATCCATTTAGCTCGCGGCTCGAGTAAAGCCATCGAAATCCGCCTTCCAGTGGTTGTAAGCTGGCTGCAGTGCGTAGGATTGCTGCAGCGGCTGCTGCAAGTTAGCAGCAAGAACTGTGTGGTGGTCTGCTGCCATAGGCTCCAGGATCCGAATGTCATACACATATTGTTCACAGCTGGTTAATGTTAAGTATCTGCACGATGGAGTTGAGCGCGGTATTATGTGCATCGATGAGTACATGTGCGGTGCTGCCCCAGCTTCGCTGATATCAGCGAACATTTCTTTGGCCTCACAACATCCGGTGATACGTGAAACTTCAGGCCAGCATATTCGAAGACACTTGAAATCGCCGATGAGTAGGAAATGCCGGCGACTCATGTGCTCCCTGAGATGCAGCAGGCAATCTAAGTCTCGGCTAAGGGAACTGTGATAAAATAAGCCCCAGAGTAGCTCTCCGCGCCTGAGGTGAATAGAGCCTCACAACAGCTCACCTAGACCATCTTCGCTTCGGTGGGCGCTCACAAGTGACAACACAGAGAAGACTGGATGTAGAGTAAGTGCCACCGTGAGTATTCCACAGCCTATCACAGCGGAAGCATGAGTAGCTACTAAGCTCAACTTCCTGGGTGAGTGCCTCCTCTTTCAACCACGTCTCTGCAAGTCCCAATACATCTGGTCACTCGAAAATAAAGAAGTGACACAGCTCCTCGCGCTTCTTCATAAGGTTACCTATTTCGATAAAGGCTACACCAAGGCGGCGTTATGAATTACCGGGCGTGCATGAAGAGTGAGCGACCGATTACTCCAAATTCGCATTTGTATTGTAACCGCCCACAAAGTTACAATATGTAGGTTTGTTTCTCTTTTACTGGCTCGCCGAATTTTCTCGATGATGGCACACATGAGGCGCGCCCGGTCAGCTGGATCTACGTCCAGACGAATATGCACTTTCTCACCTTTCAGTCTACTCAGCCGAGACTGTATAGCTGCGGGGTAGTCTCATGGGTCGGTGCTTCTCAACGTAACTTTCTTGAGACGGATGACTCGCTGCACTTCCACTCCGTCCGCACCAACATCGAGGAGCCTACCAAACAGGCTATGTAAAAACTAGGTCATGATCATAGCGTGCGTGAGGACTTAGATCCTTGTACTCAGTTGCACGATAAGGCATCAAAGTTGATCCTCTTTTATCATTCGAAGTACTTCCTGTGTGATGAGGGTGGCCTCGAGTTTTTCATGATCTGACCTGTTGTTGGTCAGTAGCGGGAATCTTCGCTTCGTTTCGCGATTTCTTCTGTCCTTGATTTTTCCATGACTCGTCAACCATTGGACATTCATCTTGGTCTTTAAAGCTAGCAGAGCGCAAAGTCAACGGATGATTAAGCCCAGTTGGTGTCTCCGGAAATATTAGGATGGCGAGGTAATGAGTCAGCCGAGGTAGGAGAATGGGAGGAAGGCTGGTTAGAACCTTGGTTGGAATTTAAGCCAGATTGCTGGATATTATGTCTAGAACTGCTCACAGTTAAACCTTTTTATTCGCGATTTGCATCGGTAGACATTACACACTGCTCTGGATGCTTTAGATTGCGATAATTACTGCATAAAATTTATATGAAATCATGTTGGATAGAACACAAAAGACGGTATGAATCGGCAGCTAATCCAATGCACAAGCTTTGAAATCCAGCAAGGCAACCAACGCATATAATGGTATTTGCCGTATTTCCAACAATTTTCGAACAAGAACCACAAGGTGATTCCTTAGACACTTTGGAGAGATCTCGTAATGGTTGCCTAAAATGGTACGGCAGACTGCAAAACGGAAGTACGAAACTATCCACTACTATACACAGCACACAAGCGATTAGCATCCATAGCGTAGCACGGCGATCAATTCTAAATAAAATGGTATTTAATTGGTGATAGTTTAGCAACTTTACCGCTTCACGAATAAGACCTGTCGGATTAGTATGTTTCGCGGTAAGTGGCATTTTATTGAGCTTTGCAGGAGTAATGAAGACCACAGAACAACGCTTAGTATTCTATCCAGCGCTGCGTCATTTGTGTTAAGTCAAATTTTCCTAGCAGCAACCATGGCAGCATAATATGGTGGGCTATTTTTGGCAGCTCACTGCGCATGCATTTCACCACGCCGTTTTGAGGACAAATTCCCCTGGAATGCGCTGTACTGGCCAGTTCATTCGTAATTTTAACTTGACTTTATCACTTGTATAAAGCCACTGGGTTGGGATCGTGTAAACTTAAAATATGGTCTCATGACACCAACCAACAGTTCGGTGAGAAGCAAGTCATTGAAAGCGACAAGTTAACCGAAGTCTTAATTCACAAGTAATCTTAATCTGATGTGATGATGAGACGATACGTAATGCATGCATCTGCCGAACTTTATCTTCTCATTGTG